ATTTGTATAGTCTCATCCCTTCCCCTCTCCTTCATCCCCACCCCCTCCCAACTAACAACCCTCAGTTCTTCCTCTGTGTCTCTGAGACTATCTCCATGTCAAGTTTTGCCCTATTCATTTAGATCTCAGATCCAACTCCTTCTCCCCAGGGAGAACTTGCTTGACGCCACCCCCACACCAAGCTGTCAGGTGTTTGCACATCACCCTGAACTTGGTAGCACATACGCATCTCTCTAGCCTTCTGATTATTTCATTGATATCTGTCTCCACAGCCAGTCTCTATGCTGCAGGAGGAAAGGGACCGTGCTTATTTACCCACAGGCCCTAGTGGCTAACACAGCTGCCAGCACCTAGCTCAATAATTGTTTATTGCTGTTGTGATTAAATTGAGAATAGGTGGCCCTCCTTGCATGAACCTGCTTTTGTTCTGTTCATAGCAATTCTCTGATGGACCATGGAGAGCTGGAAATAGAGAGATAGATGTTTCTGGGCAATGGCAGTTAAAGGGACCAGTTGTAACCAGCCTCACCGGGAGTTGGACTGAGGGCTCAGGTGCCATCCTGCCGCCATCTGTATTGTGCCAGAAGTCAGATGATCTTAGAAAATGGCCTGGACCACAGATGGGCTCTGACAGGTGGAAGTACCGCTGGAAAATGTTTGGATTGCTGGAAACAGCAAAAGAAATAAGAGAGGACACATCACGTTTCACTCAAGGGACACTATTAACAGAAGATCCTGGGACGCTGATTATGAAACATTACTAACTGGCTCTTTTCTAATTACAGCTTTGATATTACAACTATCTGGGGCATTCTAACTTGTGACCTAACATGCTTTCAGGGATCTGATGACACCATTATAAAAGATATGAAAGGTGAAATGATTTTCATCATTTGGGGTATTTTATTGAGATATGTGTTGGATGGTTTTCAGCTAATATCAACTAACTGAATATTACTGCATAAGAGTAATGCAATGAGTAGAAAATTGGCCCAAGTTTAATTTTATGCAAATGGAGAGAGGTGGGGCGTGTATGAGAGATGCAGGCTATATAGCATACTGCTGTGTACTGATAGGTCTTAGAGAAATTAAAAATACAGGTCTTCCAGAACCTGAGACCTTGGAAGTAACTCTATCCCTGGTGTCAGGTCTTAGAAAGCTAGTATCTGGAAGTAAATCTTTTGTTGTTTTCGGTATCATTTGTGACTAAATCTAATTTTGTTTATTTTTAGCCTGGGCAAAGATAACCAGTGGAAATACTGATATCCATGTGCTTCCAGGAGACCACTTTTATCTCATGGAAACTTCCAATGAGAACTTCATCAAGAACTATATAACCAAGAGTCTAGAATTTTCAATGTTTGCCTGAGTTTAGAGATTTTCCCTTTCGGTCTTAAAATAGTCAAAGTGACAAGATACTCTTCTTAATTTTTCAGATGTAGCTCATTGGTTTTATTCAGAGTCTAAAATATTATACACTTGTTATGTAGAAATGTATTTCTCTGTGGGGGCATTTATGTACCTGGGAACAGGAGACAGGTGGCTCTGGCATGCTTCTGATGGGGTGCTTTATCTTTGGGTTAGAATGTCATTTGAATCTTATCTGCGGGGAGTTTGGCGACAAAATTCTTGCTTGGTAAATGATCCATGTTTTTAAAGCGTGGATGTGTTTACGATCATGTAATATATGCGTTCATGGTTTTGTTATGATTTTAAAATCATATAGAGTCCTAGTAAATAAGATCAAGGGAAATGCATCCAGGAGGTAATTTTTAGAATTTGTCATTCCTTTTTAACAAAGTACAAGTAATAGAAAATTCATTATGGGATGAGGGCTTTGAGTTCTAATTCATGTAATAAATTTGAGCTAAAAATAGCCTCAAGAAAATTATGTTAAATGTTTAACTTAGCATGCGCTGTGCTGTACTTTACTCTCTGGTATGATATGATTTCCAGAGTTCCTTTACAAGAAGGATTAGTACTGAAGTAGTTTGGATTCTTGATTATTAATTTAAACAGTTTTCAGTTTGTATAGTCCACAAATGGGAGTCTGACGATGGAGCCAATGCCAGGCTTCTGGGGTGGGCCTTGTCACCCGCCTCTCCACCTGGAGGAGGTGAAGTCAACCTGGGGATAGCTTGAAGAGTTCCCAGGCTCGCAATTACAAGGACCGGGACTATCGCTGCTGTCTTCTCATTGCTGGAGCTGGACATTGACGCCATCGTGGAAGACTTCTATCTTAAGGCAAAACTTCCTAGAGGTGAGAATCAGCGTTACTTCCCCCAATTTTACAGATTAGAAATCAAGCTAGATTTGTTTTTAATGAAACGTTTTATTTTGCAATAACAGTAGATCCACATGCAGCTGTAAGAAATAACACGTAGCTACGCAGTCTCCCCTGATGGTAACACCGTGTATGACATCACAGCCAGGATACTGACATTGGTACAGTCAAGACACAGAGCACAGGACCCCTCTGTGACCACAGGACCCCTCCTGCTGCCTTTTTAGAGATACTCCCACAGCCCTCCTCCCTGGCAATCACTTTGTTGCCCTCCAGGTCTATAATTTTGCCATTTCCAGAATGTGACAAAGGGGATCATACAGTATGAAACCTATTGGGTATGGCTTTTTCACTGGACTTTTTCAGCATAATTCCCTGGAAATTCATCCAGTCAATCTAGATTTGTTTTTTTAAAGTCACATGAAATCAATCTATCCTTCTTAAAAGTCATATGAAATGTACAAGATAAACTGAACATTTTCAGAATTATATTTTGTTCTCCATATCTTGTCTACATATCAGGTAAGTGACAGGAGACACTTATCAATTTATCTATCTTTCTGACCATACCATACCAAACCTGAACCCTTATGCAGACAATAGAGATAACAGCATTTAGGGGTGATTTTTAGCCTATGGAATCTCAAACAGATTTTAGAACGGTTAAAGTGATACTATCTTCTTTCAGAGAACCTCTGTAACAGCAAGAAAGATGGGGTGTTGGGCCAATATAGTATTTCAGACTCTACATTTTTACTCTGATAAAGCTCAATGTAAGAGGTACAGCAGTTATACAGTTTATCATCACTAGATACTACATTTCCATTTGATTTTTTAATTTGTATTAAATGTAAAAATTTAAAGAAAAATAGTTGATAGTTCCATAGTAGCTTTTTTTCTTTGAAGAGCTATAGGCTCATAAATTTGTCTTTTAGATAGACTTTATCTTTTTAAAAAACTTAGCTTATTTGTTGTTAGATTTTATATAGCATAAGCTTTAAAACGATGGTAGGATAACTACAGTTATCTCATTCAATTCCTACTACTCTGTAAGACTGATTTTTTTTCCTGACTGTACAGATGAGGCATAGCAAGATTAAGTAACTTGCCTCAGGTCACCTAGTAACTAAATCACAGAGTAAGGTCTGGAACCAGGACTGGAATCAGGCCCCGTGTCAGTGTGAACCCCAAAACTACATGGTACAACACAGGCACAGTCTTATTATTGATTCTTTACAAACTGTTTTGATTACACTAGTTATACTAACCCACTGAAGAAAAACAGACAAACCAAAAGAACAAACAATTGTTAATGTTTTTGTGCATATATTACCAGAGCAATATTTTTTTAAAGAATATTTAAAATCACCTCTTTATGTATTAGTCTTTGATACATGTGATGATTCAGAAACCTAAATAAACATAATTTTCTTAAAGGTAAAAAAAAAAAACTCCACCTGGGTTGAGCAAGTAAAATGTGGAGTTTCATCATACCTCTAATTAAGGGTTACAATTCATGTTACTAGCAAAAGCATTCATGATGTGTAGAGTTAACAGTACATTTTTCCCCAAAATGTAGGTCATGATACCATTATGAAGGTTTCAAAAGGAAGGTTTTCTCATATGGCGAATTCTAAATTCCATATTTTTCTATCAGTTCTTTTGCTTTAGAAATATAGGCACTCATGGCATCCTCCTTCGATAATCCTAGAAAGATACAAACAGATTATCTCACCGACAGATGTAGTGAGAAATTAAGAAAGTTTATTGAACTTATTGAAGAATTAAAAACCTTTTTGGAGGTTCCATGCTTCCCACTTAGCCTTGCCTTTTAAGTCTAACATTCCTGGACACTCTGCCAAAAGAAGGATAGACATGTTTTCAGGTTTACCTTTTACTCTATGCTTATATAAACAACTGTCCAAAGTATATCACTATTTTTAAAATGACAATAAATACCGATATCAACGTCTCCGATTACAGACTGTTTGTAGAGCCCATAGAGTTCTTTCAGTTCTTCATCCTCTGGCCTTGCTTTCAGCTTCCTCACATCTTCGGCAGCCCTGTCAAAATCAGCCTAAAGCAAAAGAGAAAAAAGGCACACAATGCGTTCGCTAACTTCAAGCAGCCCCATCTGCTTTGGAGGCATTTACCACCAAGCAGTGGGAACTCACAGAGGAGTGGTGGTGGTGGTGGTGGTGGTGCGATTTCAAATAGAAATGAGCTCTTACTGTTCTGGCTTCATCAGTGTTATCATAACTCATTTTAATTCATGGATATGTCTCCTGGCACTTACCTGATATGTAGACAAGATATGGAGAACAAAATATAATTAATTCTGAAAATGTTCAATTTATCTATATTTAAAAAGTGAAGACACAAATAAATGGAAAGCGATTCTGTACTCATGGACTGGAAGAATTAATACTGTTGGGATGTCCACACTACCCCAAGCAACCTACCGAATCAATGCGATCCCTATCAAAATCCCAATATCATTTTCCCACAGAAATAGAAAGAACAATCCTAAAATTTGTATGAAACCACAAAAACGCCAAGTGCACAAAGCAATCTTGAGAAAGAAGAACAAAGCTGGGCATCACACTTCCTGATTTCAAACTATACAGCTACAGTAATCAAAACAGTATGGTATTTGCATAAAATAGACACATAGATCAATGGAATAAGAGAGAGAGCCCCCAAATAAACCCATACATAAATGGTCAATTAATACACAGTGAAGGAGCCAAGAATATACAATAGGGGAAAATAGTCTCTCCAATAAATGGTGTTGGATAACTGGACAGATACATGTAAAAGAATGAAACTGGAGGGCTGGCCGAGTGGCTCAGTTGGTTAAGAGCTTGCTCAAGAATGCAAGCTCTGAGCAACAGCAGTTCAAGTCCCGCCCGAACTGAGTTGCCAAAAGGTGGCAGGATGGCTCAGCTAAAAAAATAATAATAAAAAATAAAAAATAAATAAAATAAAATAAAAAACAAGGACTTGGGGTAAAACATATATATATATATATATATATATATATATATATATAAAGAATGAAACTGGACCCCTATCGCATACCACACACAAAAAGCAACTCAAAATGGATTGAGGACTTGAATGTAAGACCTGACACTGAAACTCCTAGTCCAGCGGTGCTCAACCTGTGGGTCGCTACCCTTTTTGGGGTTGAATGGCCCTTTCACAGGGGTCGCCTAAGACCATCGGAAAACAAAAAGATATTTACATTACGATTCATAACAGTAGCAAAATTACAGTTATAGAGTAGCAACAAAAATAATTTTATGGTTGGGGGTCACCACAACATGAGGAACTGTATTAAGGGGTCGCAGCATTAGGAAGGTTGAGAACCGCTGTCTAGAAGAAAATATAGGGGGTAAGCTCCTTGACATAGGTCTTAGCAATGAAACTTTGGATTTGACACCTAAAGCACAAGCAACAAAAGCAAAGATCAACAAGTAGGACTACAGCAAAGTAAAAAACTTCTGCACAGCAAAGAAACTATCAACAAAACGAAAAGGCAACCTACTTAATGGGAGAAGATATTTGCAAATCATGTATCTAATGAGGGGTTGATATAAATATAAAGAATAATATAGGGCCGGCCGAGTGGCGCGATGGTTAAGAACTCGCTTGGGATGCCAGAGGGCCCCGGTTCGGATCCCACATGTGAGGGCCAGTGACACTGCCCTCCACAGCTAAGATGCTGAACAACAGCTCAACCTGGAGCTGGGCTGCCGTGAGTCGCCGGCGACGGCGTGGGCTGCAGTCCCTGTGGCAGTGGATTGCCATGGGCTACCATGTGTGGCCAGCAGCCAGCGTGAGCGGCCAGCAGCCGCAGTGAGCGGCCGTCCAGAAGCCGGCGACTGATCTGCCTCACCTGGGAAAAGCGCAATGATGGTGCCAACTTGGGCCAGTGAAGCAATGTTCTCCACAACTAGACTGAAGAACAAAACGACAGCAACTTGTCTATTCCCCTTCCTCCCAATTCCCCAGCGCTGTTATCCCCCAATTCCCCAATAAAAACCTAAAAAAAAAAAAAAGAATAATATAAAGAACTCATGTAACTCAATAGCCAAAAACAAACAAACAAAAAAAAAAACCGATTAAAAAATTGGCAGAGGATCTGCATAGACATTTTTCCAAAGAGGACATGCAGATGGCCAACAGACATATGAAAACATGCTCAACATCACAAATCATCAGAGAAATGCAAGTCAAAACCACAATGAGATACCACCTCACACCTGTCAGAATGGCTATCGTTCAAGTGTTGGCAAGGATGTGGAGAAAAGAGAACCCTTGTGTGCTGGTGGTGGGATTATAAATTGTTACAGCTACTACAGAAAACAGCATGGAGATTCCTCAAAAAACTAAAAATAGAACCACCATATAATCCAGCAATCCCACTCCTAGATATTTATCCAAAGAAACAAAATCATTACCTCGAACAGGTATCTGCATCTCCATGTTCATTTCAGCATTATTTACAATAGCCAAGGCATGGAAATAACCAAAGTGTCCACCGATAGATGAACAGATAAATAAGATATATATAAAGGAATATTAATCAGCCATAAAAAAATAATCCTGCCATTTGCGACAACATGGATGCACCAAGAGGGAATTACATGAAATGAAATAAGCCAGGCAGAGAAAGACAAAAGCTGTCTGATCTCAATTAACAAAACAAAACAAAAAACAAACTCATAGAAATGGAGAATAGATTGGTGGTTCTGAGAGGCAGGGTGGGAGAGAAATGGGCGAAGATGGTCAACAGATTTTTTTAAAAGAAAAAAAAATTACGTCAGAGAAATTTCAACACATTGCTCTTATAAGTTAAAAAGCACATAAATAAAATTTTCTATTAAAAAATGTAATGGCATTACATTCAATGCAGCTTTCTCAATCACCCTCTTGGACACTTTCTCCTCTTCCTAAATCCACACTTTGTCACATGCAATAGCTTTGCTACCAATTAATATCCTGTGTGGGCATCTATCTCCCAGTGCCTCTCTGCCCACATTCTCCAACATCAGTATTACTATACCTATTTGGTGGACTAGCTAGTTTCTGAAGGGAAATGTTTCTGATGTCCTTCAGTTGCTTGTATATATAGATTCCTTTAAACATTGAGGCCAAAACTTTTAAGACTTCTTTCAAGAAATGTTTACAAAAAAGAGAAGTTGTTCAGCCAACTCTGATCTGACTAGTGAAAAGAAAATGGCTTCCTGGAAACTCTGCATATAAACTTTGTAATAAACCTTGTCCTCCCCTCCCGTGACTTAACTCTGGACCCTGACCTACCTAACTCCCCAAGACCTTCAGGCTGGCCTGGGACCCTCAGCCCAGGATTTGGCCAGCAGCTGACCCCTTGGCATATCCCTCATAGAGACAAACCGCTCCTGGAAACTTTGTTCCTGTCCCATTTTTAATCTCTTCATTTTTATACAAAGGCTATGGTTGTTTTCCTTAATAGGTTTCCTTTTTTTTTTTAATGAACTGTGTTTTACCTTGTGTTGTTTTAAACCGGGGGTAAGCAGGAATTGTCAGGTATCAAATAAGAGAAGCTCAACAAGGCATTCTACCTCTACCCCGTATTTTCTTTCTCCAAAGCCAGCGCTCCCTTTTGATCCAAAGATCCAAAGGCCCAGCAGAGAAAGCGGATAGCCTTACTGTAACGAGAACTGCAGTGATCTCAGCCGAGTTGCTGGATAAAATTTCCATCCAGCGCCTAAGATGGAGCTGTACCCAACTAGAAGTTTTCTGTGTGTGTGATGAACAAAAATCACTTGTAAACCAGAAGCCAGGGTCTCCAACCTTGAAAATGGCCCAGCTTCCTAATTATTCCCTACAGAGGGTCTGAGAAGCACGGGTGCATGTGATGAGGGACAACTACCCTGCCTCATGGCCCTCTGAGTGTCTTTCTAGGAAACTTTCTGCTGCTTCATACATAATGTCATGGAGCTAGACTGCCTTGGTTTGAATCTCAGCTTCACTTCTTCAGAGCTGTGTGACCTTGGGCAAATTACTTAACCTCTCTGTTTCTTCATCCGGGATATGGGCCAATAACACCACCTATCTAAGAGGTTCTTAGGAGGATTTAAATAAGTTAACACATGTAAAATATTTAAAATAGTACCCAGCACATAGTGAGCAGTCAATAAAGTTTAACTACTATTATTTTTCTTCTAATGCTCTTTAAGAAAAAAAAACTAGTTCTAGAAAAAAGTACTTGCAATGAAAAATACTTTATAATTTAACAAGGAATACAAAGTTGTTTTTATACATTCAGCTTTGTGTGTAATATAGAAAAAATAAAAACTAGAAAAATATACTAAACTATGTAAAAATTACCTTTGATTATTGGCAAGTTTTCTGGTTTATAAATATTTTCTCTACTCTCCGAATCTTCTATAATGTGCACACACTGTGTCTGTAATAAGGCTAAAGTGAAAATGCTACCTTAGTGGCTGGGCTACTCAGAGAGGCGATGGGATGTTCCCCTTCAGGCTTATCAGGGGTCTCCTGTGTTCTTTTTGCTGTAAAGTCACATACCATTTTCAGTGACAGGGTCTCCATTCCTCTCGGCAAGCCAAGCCTTGATTAGGGTTCTAAGGCTTCTCGAAAACCACGCTAGGTTCCTGCCTTCCAGGAAGCAGTTTCTAGAAAATTGTTCTTCATATTTCGGGGTGGGGGGGGGCAGTGTGGGACCATCTGGCAATGTCACAAAAGTCTTGAGCCCTCTCCGTGGAAGAGTTCAGCCCCTGACACATGCAGATTCAGGGCTCCCTCTCCTCCCTCCCTAGGTAGAGGAGCCTGTTTCCAGAGCAAAGCCCACAATCACGCTCTCTGCCCAGCATGCCCTTCCTGGGCTTCTACACTTGGTACCCTCCTGCTCTGCCGCGTGGTTCCCATGTGCCCTGCTCTCTGACGCCTTTCCCCGTCTATCCATCATGAGCTATAACGGAAGAAACACTGGCCTCACATCAAGATGTGGATTTGAATTCTAGCTCCGAGGCGCACACACACAGCTGTGGGAGCAACTATTGTATTGGGTTGTCGGAAAAGTCATGATGTATTTTGTCTATGTTTTTCAAAGGTCATTTATTTATATAAAGAACAAATATCAATCAATGATATATTGCCCGTTTTGTTCGATAATCTTTTGCCATCTTTCAGTGAGCTTCATAATTCCTTGTTCATAGAAGGACCTGTCTTTATTTGAGAGAAACTGAACAAGGTGCTGATTTTCAGCCTCACCTGAATTGAACGTTATACCACGCAAGGAGTTTTGAAGAGAGTGAAACAAATAGAAGTCTGACGGGACAAGGTCAGGTGAGTATGGTGGCAACAAGTCCCATCCAAGCTCCAATAATTTTTTTTTTAAGATTTTTGTTTTTAATTGGGGAATTGGGGGGATGGGAACAGTGCTGGGGAATTGGGGGAAGGGTAACAGACAAGTTGCTGTCCTTTTCTTCTTCAGTCTAGTTGTGGTGGACGTTGCTTCACTGGCCCAAGTTGGCACCATCACTGCGCTCTTCCCGGGCGAGGCAGATCAGTCGCCAGCTTCTGGATGGCTGCTCACTGCAGCTGCTGGCCACTCACACTGGCTGCTGGCTACACACGGTAGCCCATGGCAACCCACTACCACAGGGGCTGCAGCCTATGCCATCACCGGCAACTCAGGGCAGCCCAGCTCCAGGTTGAGCTGTTGTTCAGCATCTTAGCTGTGGAGGGCAGTGTCACTGGCCCTCATATGTGGGATCCGAACCAGGGCCCTCTGGCATCCCAAGCCAGCTCTTAACCATCACGCCACTCGGCCGGCCCAAGTTCCAATAATTTTTGACAGGTGATCAAACTTGTGTGTGGTCTCGTGTTGTCACGATGGAACACAACTCCTTTACAATTAACAAGCTCTGGACGTTTCTGAATGACGGATTCCTTCAAACTGTCCAATTGCCAACAGTACACATTCAAATTGATTGTTTGGTTCCTTGGTAGGAGCTCAAAAAACATGACACCTTTAAAATCCCACCACACTGAGAGCATAACCTTCTTCTGATGAATGTCTGCTTTCGATGTTGTTTGAGGTGAATCATCACGTCGGGACCAAGACCGTTTGCACACTACATTGTTGTAAACAATCCACTTCTCATCACCAGTTGTTAGTCACTTCAAAAAACAATCGTTTTCCTCACGTTTAATGAGCATATTGCAGATATTTATGTGCGCCCTCAAATGAACTTCTTTGAGTTTATGCGGAACCCAAATATCGAGCTTGCTTACGTATCCCAGCTTCTTCAGGTGGTTGTGAACACCTGAATGATGGATGTTCAACGTTTCTGCAATCTTTTGTGTCGTGTAACATGGGCTTGACTTGATCAATGTCTTTATTTTGTCATCATCAACTTCGGTGGGCCTCCCTGACCGAGGAGCGTCGTTGAGATCAAAATCACCAGCATGGAATTTCGTGAACCATCCTTGGCACTGACATTCTTGTAGAGCATTGTCACTGTAAACTTTATGCAATTTTTCACAAGCTTGTCACACATTCTTCCCTTTATGGAAGTAAAACAGTAAAATATGGCAAAAATGCACATTTCGGTCTTCCATCTTCAACTTGTTGTAAAACCTCTAAAACTCAGCCAAATCACTTAATTTTTTTTTTTTAGAATGAAGCTAGAACTGTCAGCTGTCAAATGACATAGCAATAACATAGATGTGAATGACTCTAGTACTTCCAAAAATGAACTCGTGCCATCTGTTGCAAACATGCATCATGACTTTTCCGACAACCCAATACAATAAGCTCCTCAGAGATTCAGCATCAGCTGAAAAAAAGACCCTATCAACCTCAATGGGAAGGTGCGATGATAAAATATAATTAAGAATGTAAATATTCTTGATTTCACTGTTGGCTCCACCCACCCAGAGCTCATCCCTTGTGTCATACTGTTTAACTGACAGAGGTGTTGAACACCTGCTAGGCAGCCAGAATGAAAGGGGCTGCCAGCTCTCACGGAGCTCAGGGTCTCCTGGGAAGTGACAAAGTCAACAATGATCATGTGTTATTGGGGTGCTCTGGGAACGAAGGGGCGGGAGCGGCAGCAGGTGTGGAAGAAACTTTCCCAGAGGAGACAGAGCTTGGCAGAGCAAAAGGGTCAGCATTTGTGGGATAGGCGGGAGCAGGGAAGGGTTCAGGCACCATGGTCAGCATTTATTAGGGCTCAACATAAAGGCTGGGTGGGACTGTATTTGCTTGCTCCTCCACATATCTGCAGGAGAGTGTGGGCATAAATGTTCATCCTGGCAGCAAGAGCTGTGCCTTACAGAGTGCTGGCAGGTGGTAGAGCCTGTCAGAGCCTCTTGCTGAATAAATGAATATGTGAGTGGGTGTTGGGGGTGGGGGCGGGGGCGGGTGGTGCTGAAAGTTATAGGTGAGAAGCAGCTTTTAAATGTACTGCTGTTCATATTTAGCTCCAAAGCATTCTAGGCAAAAGGGACACTTAGTGATGTTTCTAAACATGAGGGCTCACTACTGTCGTTGGGGAATTTCAGCCTCTGCAGAGTTGATTGTCCTGGGGCCCGGTCCCCAGCATCCTGGTTGAATGCATGTGTGCATCATTTCCAGGGCAAATGTGGAGATTCTTCCAAACAAGCTGCCTTCAGGCCTCTCCCTACACCCTTTCCTGTTCATGTGTTGACAAGGCCCCCCTGGCCACACCCGTGGTAAAGCAGTGACTCCAGTGTAACCACCGTCACTCACAGTAAGAGCATCCTGACTGCATGGAGATGGAATGAGTCTCTGAACACCTAGGAGCACTGACTCCCTGACCTCTGTAAACTTCCTTTCAAATATCACCACAGCTGAAGACAGCCTCTGAGGGTGACGCTCACCTAATCTAGCTTTGCTTTCTGCAAACAGAGAATGTGGTCATTCCACATGGGCTGACAATGCCTTTGTGAGCAGTCCTTTCCCACTGAGGACCTGAATTAGGGAGATCATCAATTCTCACTCAAGGAACTGCACGGTTCTCAGCACCTACAAACGTGTGTGTGGAGGGAAAGGAGTTAGTTATGTGCCATTGTAAAATCATAAGTCCCCTAGACACGAAAAGATACATTTTCTTGAAGAAGCAGTCTGCCTTTTAGCTTCATCATCTAAGGGAGAAATAAGTCCAGTTTACGTGACTGTCTGCTCACTGAAAAGTTTTGCTGTGGAAGTAAACATATTGTAATTTTAAAATAAAATTTGGAGGTTATAGCTGAATTAGAAACCCCATTTGTTTTGCCTAGCAAAATGAAACAAAGTACTAAGCTAAAGAGAAAGAAAGTTTTGACGTTGAAAGGTTTGCTTATTTTGCAGAATGTTCAAATATGAATTATGTCATACATAAGATAAAAATATCTAAATGTTCAAGGACACGTTTATTGCACACTTAGCACATGCCAGGCACTGTTTTAAATGTTGTATACATGCAGCTCATTTACTCTCAATAGTCCCTCTTCTCCATTTTTAAATGAGGAAAATTGAGGCACAGAGGGGTTAAGTATCTATGTCACAGACTAGGAGTGGGGGAGGTTTGGATTGAACACCACTGACTGGAGTACCCGCCATAACATATTGCCTGAAGAATGGTTAATGAAGTGCGCCATGCTCATTCCATAAAATTTGTATGTAGGTATTTTAAAATATATTTTATAATAATATTTAATTATGAGAAAATGCTCATAACATAGCGTTACGTACAGGAACAAAGGTGTACATACAAATACCATAATTGGCATGTGTACATATACACAGATATATGAACACAGGTACATATACATAAACATGCCTGCATGCGCGCACACACATGCACACATACACACTTCTCACATATACATATGTAACCAGCGGTTATCACCTGGGTGAAGGAATTCCCCAGGTTTTTACTTTATATTTGTTCTCTTTCCCCCAAATTTCCACTCTAAACACGTATTTTTTCACATATCAGAAAAACGGTATTTTGAAATCGTAGTTGAACAGATCTCTAACCTTGCCTTAAGAGAGCCCCTGGATGCACCAAGGAGCAAAGGGGCCCGGGTGAGGCCACCCCCGCCCGCGCCTCCATCTCCAAGAAGGAAAGAGCGGCGGAGCAGGGCTGCCTAGACCTCAGGGAGCCACACGGCGTCCTCCCTCCCTGGGCTGGCGCCTACTTTGCACTTAACCAGTCCCCAGAGTTCACAAGAGTTGCCATAGGGAACCCTGGCCCGCCGTCAAGAGACGGCACCAGTGCGGTCTCTACTGCAATAAGGGGGCGCTCGCTAAGGGGTGGGGGTGTCCTCAGAGTCCCCGCGGACCGCTCCCGGCGGGGACGAGGACGCGGGCGCTGCTGGCCAAAGCGAGAAGACCCAGATGCGCCTCCGCCCGGGGGGCCGTCACGCCGGCCCCACGCCCCCTTGAGCGCTTCCCTCGGGGGAGCACGCCCTCCCACGAGGCCTTGACCACCTTCTGGCTCACCTGCAGGGACATAGCGGTGACATGCGCGGCTCCCGCACTTCCGAGGCTCGGTTGCCTGGTCCCGGGCGTCCCACCGCTCCTTAAAGGGCAGCGCTCACCTGCCCGCCAGCTCCCATTGGCCGCGCTCCCAAGCCCGGCCGGCTTCCATTGGCTGTCGGCACGGGAGGGCGGGGTTGGGGAGTGAGTGGCACCCGCCCTGCTGTAGGCGCCGCTGGGGTCCTCCAGGCCGCGTCAGAGTATTGTCAGCTGCTAGCGCGGCAGCAACTGGAAAAGTGGAGGGAAGGGAATTTAAATGAGTTATTCTCTTCTTCGCTCGATGTTCATTATTTCTCAAGAGGTTGTTAGCAGGAAATCCAGAGAGGTCTCCCCAGGGCGCGGACCTCACTTGGGATTCCTTTTTTGTATATACCTCTGTTCTCTCGGTAATTTCTAGAAACCTGGACGGTTGACAGCGTTTGTTTAAACCGCTCCCGTCTCCCCCGACCTGTCTCTAGGCACAGCTCATCAGGAATGAGAAGGCTGGTATTTTGCATCTTTTCTCCTCTTTATAAAGCAAAAACACAAAGTTGGACAACTAAGTTGGTGAACATCCTGGAAAAAGAGCTACCATATTTCCCCATGTATAAGATGCTCCTTAATTTTGGGGCCCGAAATTTGAAACAAAATGCATTACATACAGTTATTGAAATCAAGTTTTATTCATCATAAAATTCATACAACTCCTCATCACTGTCAAAACTCCCAACCATTAGCTTGTCCTCATCTGAGTCTGATGACGAATCACTGTCTTCATATTTTGCCTTGTCCTCAGTGGGAAATGCAAGTAAAAATCTACAACCACTGTATAAGACACACCCAGTTTTTAGACCCCAAATTTTTCGAAAAAGGGTGCATCTTATACATGGGTAAATATGGTACATACCTCACCTTTGAAGTACTCCCCTTGGGAAGCTATGCACTGATGCGCCTAGTCTACCCTTCAAAGCAATTTTGGAACTCTTTTTCTGGAATGGCCATCAGAGCTGTTGTCGTATTACCCTTAATGTCCTGAATGTCATCAAAATGTCTTTCTTTCAATATTTCTTTTTTTAGTAAAGAAGGAAGTCATTGGGAACCAGATCAGGTGAGTAGGGAGGGTGTTCCAATTTAGTTATTTGTTTACTGGCTAAAAACTCCCTCACAGCCATATGAGCTGATGCATTGTCGTGATGCAAGAGCCATGAATTGTTGGTGAAAAGTTCAGGTCGTCTAACTTTTTCATGCAGCCTTTTCAGCACTTCCAAATAGTAAACTTGGTTAACTGTTTGTCCAGTTGGTACAAATTCATAATGAATAATCCCTCTGATATCAAAAAAAGGTTAGCAACATCACTGCAACAAGTTCATGAACTTAATTGTACATTCTGAACACATGATGCAAACACTCTAACTAGTTTTCAATTACGATAAGGGCACAGGACTACACACCTATTCAATCTGACCTCATTCTCCAGGGAGCAAACCCAAAGTCACTCCAAGTCTGCAGACACACGGACTGGGGTTATGATTTACATTTGATTAAATTTTCAAAGAACTTTGGAAACAAATTTCTGGGTTATATGAGGCACTTCTGACTCTTCATTTAAATGCAAACACTGTAGAACAAAGTGACCAGAAGAACCGTCAGTGTCTAGGAACTTACTGATTTGAAACGTCTAAGGATGCAACAACATCTAAAAATGCAAGGGACAGAGAAGAAAAACCCCAAGACGTTTTAACATGTTCTTGCACAAAACTACATTTTAAACTACATGTCAATCCCTTGGTTTTTAATTTTCTCCTCAAAAATATTTTCATACTGATATCAGTGAATTTCCAAGTAAAGGACAAAAGGCAAACGTTAGCAAACCATACTGGGACTGATTTTCATGTTTAAATTTTTTAAGTTCCTGGACGATGGGAAATGCATGCTGGGGTCCAAAGTGTAGTGGTGACACTATATCTACTATTTTGAGATTTAAATCTCTAGTGTAATTCGATTTGACAGTGTAGTTTGCCTTGGGACTTTTTGAAAGTTTTTCTTTGCTTTGCTTTCCTCCCTTACTGCCAAACCTTAATGAGTCTGTTTACTATACATTTAGTATGCATACCAGTTTCAGTGGTTCTTTTTACTTCAAGCTGTGTGCCTGCATGCCTGGCCAGTGACTTGGGAGAGGGTTTTGCATCTGTATGGGATCTACTCCTGTCCCTAAGGCTGTCCCTAAGGGAAACGCCTTTTTCCCTGAGTTGTCTGACCAGCCAGCGGGGCAGCCTGCTTCTGGCCACCAGAGATTAGAATTTACAGTTTAGAGCAGTGGTTCTCAACCTGTGGGTCGCGACCCCTTTGGGGGTTGAACGACCCTTTTACAGGGGTCGCCTAAGACCATCGGAAAACAAAAAGATATTTACATTACGATTCATTACAGTAGCAAAATTACAGCTATAGAGGAGCAACAAAAATAATTTTATGGTTGGGGGTCACCACAACATGAGGAACTGTATTAGGGGGTCGAGGCATTAGGAAGGTTGGGAACCACTGGCTTAGAGGGTATTATGCTAAGTGAAATAAATCAGACAGGAAAAGACAAATACCACATGATTTCACTTGTATGTGGAATCTAAAGAACAAAATTAATGAACAAACAAAACAGAAACAAACTCAGATTCATAGAGAACAAACTGATGGTTGCCAGAGGGGAGCTGGGTTGGAGGGATAGGGTGAAAGAGGTGAAGGGATTAGGAAGTACAAATTGGCAGTTACAAAATAGGGAGATGTAAAGTACAGCATAGGGAAGATAGTCAATAATATGGTAATAACTATGTATGGTGTCAGATGTGTACTAGACTTATCGGGGTGATCACTTTGTAAATTATGCAAATGTTTTAATCACTATGCAGTACACCTAAAATTAAAATAACATTGCATGTCAACTGTAACTGAAAAAATTAAAATTAAAAAAGAAAAGGTTGTGAGGTAGGGCAGAGCATCAGGAGTGATGCAGCCAAGGCTGAGATCTACTGTCTGAAATAAATTAGCCGTCCTTCTCAGAATATCCTCTGAATATTATATACAGTGGTCCATGATTGTTCAGGTCCCAGCGACCTTGTCAACCTCATCTCTACGGCTCTCCTTTCCCATTGTAGGCACACTGTCACTCCATGATACTGAACTACTTTAACCTCCCTTTTCCAGGTTCATAGGAAGCTGCTGCTCTATTGTCTGGAATGCTTTTTTCCCACCTTTTAACTGGCCAGTTCCTCTTTCAAGGCAGCCTACATGGCACCTCCTCCAGGAAGCTTTCAGGACAAGGAGTATCTTTAGTTCAGTCTACAAGCTTGTAGCCATCTCCCCTCTCCTGCCATTCTCTCCTTCCTTCAAAGGGCTTCCGCTGCACTGGGCTCCCTTGTGGTTCTAACATGCCAAGTGCACTCCTGCTTGAGGGCCTTGACCTCCAAACACTCTTCCCTGAGCCTCTGTCTGCATGGCTCAGTCCTTCACCTCCTCCAGCTCTTTGCTCAAATGTCACCTTTTGGGGGGGGGGGGTTTGTCACTCCACCCCTGCACCCCTCCCGCCCCTCCCTGCTTTATTTTTGTCCACGGCACACTTTATCATCTGACATACTATATATTTTACTTTTTTTGTTTGTTGTCTGCCTCCTCCATTAGAACTTTGGTTCACTGCTTTATCCCCAACACTTAGAATTCAATAAATACAGTTATCTGTTGAATAATGGAAGGGAGGGAGGGAGGGAGAGAAGGAGAAAAATAGTTTCTCCATTCTTACATACCTAGCATCTAGCACATTACCTAACACATAAAAGATGCTCAATAAATACTATTGTACAAAGTAAAATGTTACTTACATTTTTTTCACCTAAAACATATACACAGACATATGTACACATTTCTATCTTAAAAGTGCTTCTCAATCACTTGCTCTCATATTGCTTCAGAAAGAATTGTGATAAGTTAATTCATATATCTATACTTTAAATAATTCTAAAAAAAAAAAAATATATATATATATATATATATATATAATATTTTGAACACTTACTTGCTGCCCATTTCATATCATGCACTTTATTTATCAAATACTTTATTTCCAAAATTGGTGTTGGCTCCATAGGACCTATAGAAAATCAAAAGTCTAGCATCACATCACATTAGGCCTCCTCTCTAAAAAAAAATAAAAAACAAACAAACAAAAAAACAACAAAAACCACACACACACACACACACACACACACACACACACACACACACACAACCCCAAAACACAAAAAGCAAACAAAAAACCTCTTAAAAATAGTTTACTGAAAAAAAAAGATATCTCAGACTAGTTTTGTTAGCATCTGACTTAAGGTCTTCCACATTTCTCTTTTTAACAGAACAGCTCTGCCAAGGCCCCCTGACCACTTCATATGTCTCCACCTGGTCACACAGGCAAGTCCTGGCTGCCATCTGGCTGGAGTCTTGGTGGAATGCCCTGCGATTCCTCCTGGAGCAAGGCCTCCTCCCCCATCCGTCTTGGAGGAGACTCCCACAAGGTGTTTCTCCTTCACTTTCCTAGTTTCAGCTGAGACAAGGGCTTTTCATGTTGCCCTCTCTTCTCTTTCCCCCAACCCCTCACCACCTTAGGGTCCAGCTGCCGGCTTCTGTGTAAATCTCTGAAAGTACTTGGCTGAGGTTGCAAGTTGGTTTGTCAATGCAGGGTGACCCACCACTCATAAACCTGTGGTTATCTGACCTCTGTGACTAGGGACATCATGCTGATCTCCCTTTTGCTGTTTTGTAAGTATAATAAATGGTCTGAATCCAGTTAGGTTCTTTTTGTCCTTGTCGACCTTATCCATAGACGGGTGGCACTGCCACCATGCTGTTGCCTACGGATTCTTAACTGCTTGAGAGGCCTCACATGTACACTGCCTCTTTGGAGTATTATACAGTCCTACCTAGCAGAGCTTCCAACAGCACAGATGCAAAGGCTGTTCTTTGATTTTGTAGCTCATCATTAAAGTTTATTCTTAGTGACTGATTTAAAATAACTGATTACTATTTGTATAACAATTGTTGCTATATATAAGAACAATCAAACTGTGGTGGTGAATTTTATGTGTCAGCTTGTCGGACCGCAGGATGCCCAGATCAAACATTATTTCTGAGTGTTTCCGGATGAGATTAGCAGTTGAATCAGTAGGTTCAGTAAAGTAGATCGTCCTCCCCAGTGTGAGTGGGCATCATCCAGTCCATAGAGAGCCTGCATAGAACAAAAGGCAGAGGAAGGAGGAATTCATTCCCTTTTTTTCCTGCCTCACTGATTGAGCGGGGCCATCTCATTTCATCTCCTTCCGCCCTGGAACTGAGAATTACATCACCTCCCCTCGCTCTCAGGCCTTCGGGTTTAGACTGCACCTATACTACCAGCTTTCCTGGGTCTCTAGCTTACAACCGCAGATTGTGGGACTTCTCAGTCTCCATAGTCACACGAGCCAATTTCTCATAATAAACCATATATATATATGATTTACATATACGCACACACACACACACACACACA